CCCACGAGACTGACTCACCGAACCCCTGGGGTTCGATCGAACCCAGGTTAAGAACCACTGGTCTATGTGATCTAAAAGTGACATTTGAAAGAGGAATTTGACAAGGAAGAGTGAAATGGTGCTGAGGCATTATGGATGCTATTACACTGGACTTTTTTCTCAGATAAGTAATGCTAAATAGTTGGTGTGGTCAAACCTCAGAACTGTGGTCATCACAAAGAGAGATCCAGAGCATTGGAGGCTACAAGGTATCCAGGAGGGTTCATCTGGTGACGTGGCTATCTCTTGGTATATGTGGATATTCCACAAAGCAAGTTGGCCCTTGTGGTCATATTAAGGAGGTGAGGAGGCACTTTGGCCACTTACGGATATCACATCACAGTGTGTGGCACCTATGGTCTTTGGTTATATTCACATTTGTGTGTTTGAATCCCTGCACATTTTGGAATCAATTATATGGACTGCTATTTAGCATGATGTATTGAATTGGGACACTTTTCACTTGTGTTATCCATTGTGTTCCCCTACGAGGAATCACTTACCTCACTATCCATTGGTCCCCCAGATTGGGGATTATATATGTGAGGGGTCACCTGTTTAGTTTGTGACTGTATACGTGTTTATGCTCACGCATGAGTTTGAATTCCTATATGTTTTATATCTGTCTATTTAGCGCTACACCATTACTGTGTATTATATTTACTTACTTTGTGGTTAAAGATTAGGGGTTAGCTGCTTAGGGTAAGGTCTATCCATTTCTAGCGCAGGAGGCTTCCTTTTCTGTATTTCTGCTATAGGGCGGTCAGGAAGCAGTTACATAAGCGGTTTGTATTACGGTGCTGCGCTATTTTAACTGATAATTGCACAGTCATGCAATGCTGCTCCAAAATGAAATTTACATCTTGTTTCCCCCCCACAAATTGAGCTTTCTTACGGTGTTATTTGATCGCCTGTGCGTTTTTTATTTTTTGCGCTATAAAAAAAAAAGACAATTTTGAGAAAAAAAAATATTTTAGACTTTTTGCTATAAAACATGTCCAGTAAAAAAATTTAAAAATCAAATTTTGTCATAAATTTCAGCCAAAATGTGTTCTGCGACATGTCTTTGCTAAAAAAAAAATTCCAATACGTGTAAATTAATTGGTTTACATGAAAGTTATAGCGTTTACAAATGGTGGAATTTAAATTTTTTTTATACTAATAATGGTGCCGATCAGCGACTTATGGCGGCGTTCAGTAACTTATGGCGGGACTGCGGCGAACACTCTGACATGGGGGGGAACTGACTTGGGGTCACTGACATCCCCAGTGACACCAATACAGTGATCAGTGCAAAAAAAAAAAAACACTGACACTGTGCTAATGGCACTGGGGAGGAAGGAGTTAACTTTTTTAGGCAATCAAAGGGTTAACCGTGTGAGGGGAGTGTTTTACTAGTGGGCAGGAGGTGTGTACGTCACTGTTGCAAGCTGTCCCGGAAAGCTAAGCTCTGCTCTCCGGAACAGTGTGCTGGAAACTGACAGGGAGCAGAGCTGCATTGAAAACACTGTTTGCCGGAATTCGCCAGGACCCGGTGAGTAATGACCGGCCGGGACCCGGTGATTGACACCCATGTCCACGATCGGTGGCGCGGGTAGGGCAGTCGCGTGCACCCCTTACCCGATATGCAAAATCACGTATATAAACCTGATTGTAAGCATACCTGTAGATACAAGTGCAAAAAAGAATTAACTACCACTTAAATGCATAGATCAACTTTTTTTAGAAAAACAAGTTAACAAATGAAGCAAAGTCCTACCTGTTCCTGTTCTGAATAAAAAGCTGCGTGTTCCACTTTGTCTTTGCAAAACTGATTTCTGAATAGGAAGGTCAGCTCTCATCATAACCACCTGGTGCATTAACTGTTCTAATGAGGTCACCTGCAGAGTCTGCATCCCTTTAGAAGTGATTAAACCTTAGTCCCCGGTCACAGTTGATGCGCATTGGCATATGATTTGCATGCCATGCTACTTCCAAATCGCATGCCAAGGCACACCCTATTGTCCACATTTAGAGCGGTCATATCAGTGTGGTTCCGACTTGGTCGGAGCCGCACCGATTTCTAAAGTAGTACATGCACTACTTTTGGTGCGATTTGCATAGACATCTGTGTCAGATGTCTTGCAAATCGCACCTTAAATTGGCATGTCATCCGACTTTGAAATCATGCGACTTCACTGTAAGTCGGGTTTGGTGTTATGGCCGTGTTAGAGAATATAATCACTAAAACTGGAATTTCTTATGCAGAGGATGCCTAAAATTTTACTAGTATCTTAGTGCAGATATATGAAAAATAATCAGTGAGCCAATCACACAAGAAGTAAATGAACACCTCCAGGTTGCCATAAGGCAATTACTTTTTTGACAGTTTTAGAAAATTACAGAGGCTGAAATGGTAGAAACATTTTTAATAACATTAAAGGGCAATTCCACTTTGAAGGAAAAAATATCAAATAAAAATATTATAGCAGATACAATTGCAACACAAACCATATTGTAATTGTATATAATTAAAAAATAACATTTCCTTTTAAATCTTCAGCATTATAATTTTCTCTAAAATTCAATGCAATATGGCAACCTGGAGGAGTTCTGTACACCACTGGATTCATACTCTGAATGGTCTTATGAGTTATGAGTGGTGTACCCCAGGGTTCAGTGTTGGGACCTTTACTTTTTAATATATATTTAAATTATATAGGGTCTGGGATTAAAAGTACAATTTCAGTCTTTCAAGATGACACCAAGCTGTGCAGTGGAATAACATCCTTACAGGATATCTTCAATTTACAAGCCGACCTCAATGCACTGTTTACCCACTTGCCTACCGGGCACTTATACCCTCTTCCTGCCCAAGCCAATTTTCAGCTTTCAGTGCTGTTACACTTTGAATGACAATTGCGCGGTTATGCAACAATGTACCCATATGAAATTGTTCTAATTTTTTTCACACAAATAGAGCTTTCTTTTGGTGGTATTTACGCGCTGCTGGATGTTTTATTTTGTGCACTATAAACAAAGCGCAAAAAAATTTAAAAAAAAAAAAACGGTTTTCTTTTTTTCTATTATAAAATTCTGCAAACAGGTAATTTTTCTCCTTCACTGATGTGCATTGATGAGGCTGCACTGATGGGCACTGATAGGCAGCACTGATGGGATGCACTGATGAGGTGGCATGGGTAGGCAGCACTGATAGGCAGCACTGCTGATGCTGCACTGATATGCAACAATGATGGGCACTGATAGGCAGCACTGATGGGTGGCACTGCTGGGTGGCACTACTAGACACTGCTGGGCACTGATCATCAGTGCCGATCCATCCTCTGACACTTGCTGGTTATCGGCAGTACTTTCCTCACGCTATGACAGTGTGAGGAAAGTGCAGCCGATAACCGGCAACTACATTTACCTATGATCTGCTGTGTCATTGGAAAAATGACATGGTAAAAGGCCGCTGCGATTGGCCTTTTACCACATCACGTGATCAGCTGTGTCCGTAGGACACAGTGATCATGAAGATCGCCGGGGGGGCACGTGGGAGGGCGCATTCTGGGAGATTGTCATATGACTCCCTCCCAGGACTGGACCACTGCGCTGTAGCCGTCATTGAGCGTGGTTGGCAAGTGGTTAATTGGGGGACCATGTGGCAAATGAGGTTTAATGTTGATAAATATAGTATTCTGCATTTGGGCTAAAACAAGCATGTATCATACACATTAAGAGAACAGCTGGGGGAATCAATGGTGGAGAAGGATCTGTGTGTTCTGGTAGATCATAGACATAACAATACAATGCAATGCCAAGCTGCGGGTCCCTAAAGCAAGCAAAATCATTTCTTGTAATAAAAGAGGTATGGACTGTGAAGAGAGAAAGAGAGATATAAATTATCATTGGTACCCCTGTACAAATCATTTGTAAGACCTCATTTGGAATACATAGTTCAATTTTGGGCGCAAAAAAGGATATTGGGGAACAGGAGAAAGTGCAAAGAAGGGCAACCAAAGTGATAAGAGTCATGGGAAGCTCAGATACGAGGGAACTGAATAAATTCTCTTTTAAGAAAAGGAGATTATTGGGGGATATGATCACCATGTATAAACATGTGAGCGGTTCATGTAGCTAAGTTGGTGTAGAGTCATTCACTTTCAGGTCATTACAGAGGACAAGGGGGCATTCTTTATGTCTGGAGGAAAATAGATTTTGGAAAAGATATTTAACATCCACATACGGAAAGGCTTCTTCACAGTAAGAGCTATGAAAATGTGGAATAGACTCCCTCAAGAACTAGTTCTGGCTGGCTCACAAATACACATAATAATAAATAGATGTTAACCATGTCAAGTCCGGACACTTTCACCCCCTTCCAGTTTAGGCCAATTTTCAGCTTTCAGTGCTATCACACTTTGAATGACAATTGTTGCAGTCATGCAACACTGTACCCATATGAATTTTTTAGCATTTTTTTAAGACAGATAAAACGTTATTTTGGTGGTATTTATTCACCACTGGGATTTGTATTTTTGCTAAAAAAAAAAGTCCTAAAATTTTGAAAACAAGTGTTTTCTTATAAAATTTTTCAAATAAATAATATTTCTTCATAAATCTTGGTCAAAATGTATTCATCTATCTTTTTAGTAAGAAAAATAACCCAAATTAGTTTATAACCAAAAATTATAATTTTTCAAAAAAGTTTTTTACATTTTTATTTAATTTTTTTATATTATTGTTTATGTTTTGTTTTTTTTAACATACTGCCACCCTAGCAGTACAGTGTCACCATAGTGACACAGTACTACTTGTGGAGGGTGATGAAGATTTTTTTTTTCCTTTTTTACACCTATAAAGGCTGGAAAAGCAATCATTTCTCCTTGTCTCTGGCTGCACTCCTGCAGCCATTGAGAAATACTGTGAGAGCTGTGATTGGTCACAGCTTGTCACATGGTACAGGGCTCTTGTGAATAGCCTTGTACCATGTGACCTCTGTGATCATTCACGGATTTCACTAGTAGTAAACAATGATGTCAGGAAGTGACATCTTGCTTACTACTATTCATGTGATCACTGATTGTTCAATCAGTGATCACATGAATCGGGACCTTCCACAGAGGTCCCGTACAGTGATCTGTGTTCAGACACAGCGGGCACCGATCACTCCCAGGGAGCGCGCACAGGCAATGGATGCGGGTGGATGTTTAGAAACGTCTACGCGCATTGGCAGAGCTCCCGTCCGGCTGTTTATCTACATGGGTCGGATGGAAAGTGGTTAACATTTATAGGTAAGAAACACCTGATTGTCTCCTGAGGGATCAGATAGGAATTTACTTTCCTCACTGGAAGAAATTGGACCATACTTTATTGGGGGATTTTTTGCCTTCCTCTTGATCATCTGTGGGTATAGGATTGTGTATATGGTTTTATATTTATATTTTCTATTGGATAGACTAAGTGGACCTGTGTCTTTTTTCAACCTAATTAAGTAACTATGGAACAAGACATAAGCTTGAATCACATTACCATTGCTGGTCTCTGATTGCCACAAAGTTTGTTATCTAGCCATGTACCTTAAAGTTTCTCAGTCTCCTAGAATGCCAGCAATCCATGGTAAAACATAGTATCCCACCTGTGTTCCCCCAGGAAAGGAGAACCCTGATTATCAGTCACTTGGCTGATCTTTATGTCTCTAATCAGCTTAAAATGTATTTCCACCTTTGCAGTCACAGATGAGAAACCCCCACTATAATGGCAGGAATACACAGTAAGAAAATCGACCGATCGGTCATCCAACAACCGATCAATGTTCGTTCTTTGAAATCGTGGCCCTCATTAACCAATCGAAAAAAATCATTAGTTGAGCAATACATAGTGTTGACCTCTTCCATACAAGTGGAAGTGATGCAGTGTGTGTGTGACCTTGTAGCCATGCCCTGCCACCCAGAACAAGCGATTAGACATAAATCCTTGGAATTAATTGGATTAAATTGGATTTATGGATCCTTGCACATAAACATCCAGGTCATCTTCTGTTTCCACTCATGCGTGATAACGCTTGATAGATTTTTTTCGGACGACCGTCATGCCACCGCATAGAAAATCGATCGTTCACATGCGAAACGACAACATTTTTCACGGTTGTTCAACCGGATTTTTTCATTCACAATATCGTTATCGGTTATAACATCCTGATCATCAATGAAGAGAAAATCGGTCAATCATTTGAGCAACAAAATTTTTTGCACACTTTTTTACTGTGTATTCCTGTCTTAAGTTTGTTGTGTGTTATTCAGTCAGCATACCCCAAAATAATGCATAAAAAATATCTGTTACCTTTCTGGTTGTATCTTTGGAGCAAGATTATGCATTGGACACTGTGGGCAGATTCTACTGCTTAAAATAGATTTCAGTGTGAAGATAAAGCCGGCCATACATGGGCCAAATTCCGAAAGAATTTTCTTTAAAAAATCTTTTCTAAGACTTTTCGCTTGAATTTCGCACCGTTAGTTGGCCACAGCAACAGTTGCATTTCAAGCGAACATTTGAGTGATTGGGCATGTTGGAATTTTTTTTTTTTAAAAACAAAATAATTCAAACCAATGATGGGAGAATCGTATGAGAAATGTAACTGAAAAAGAAACGAGCATGAGCTGTGACCTGGAAAGAAAAGAAAATTCTTGGCCACGAAAATTCTTTTCTGTTGCAACACGAGGTGAAATTAAAGGCTTGGTTGGTCAAATTTCAAAATTGATGGTGGCACCCTCGGATTACAAGACGCACAAAATTTCGGATTTTCTAAAGAAAATGAATTTGGAATTCAATCCATGTATGGCCTGCATAAAGGACAAAGTGGGGGAGTCTTTTAATTGCATAAACATACCATGTACCATCTTAAGCCGGCCAGACATGGGTCGAAATCCAAAATAATTTTCTTTCAAAAATCTTTTCTAAGAATTTTCCTTTGAATTTTGCACCATTAGTGGGCCATATCTACAGTCGAATTTCGAGTGACCATTGAATTTGAGTGATAGGGAACGTTGGAAATGTTTTTGAAAAATTAACTAATTTCTAATCAATGATGGGAGAATTGTGCGAGAAATGTAATTAAAAAAGAAATGAGCATGAGCTGTGACTTGGAAATAAAAGAAAATTCTTGGCCACAAAAATTATTTTCTATAGCATATGGAATTGAAGGCTTGGTTGGTCGCATTTTGAAATCAATGGTGGCACAATCAGATTAAAAAAACACACACAATTTCTGCTTTTGTAAAGAAAATGTGTTCGGAATTCAACCCATGTATGACCTACATAAGTCTTGAGATTTGTAATCCTTTGTTAGGACAGACAGTCCTACACATATAGTTTACAAATGGTAATGGTGATTTGCAAGGGCAGTACAGACAGGGTTAATGATGGCAAACATTTTTCCAGTTACATAATATCTTTTTATGGCAGCTCCTATATTTCTGCCCTTTAAAAGTCTTTTTACTGTAAATATGAATAACAGGTATCAGCTTTTTGTCCTGCAGTTTACACTTTGAACACTAGATGTCAGCCTACTTGCACAATTAGGAGTTTGTGTTTTTCAAAGCATACATGCATGGAAGTCAGCACTGTTATCATCTAATCTGGCCACTGTAGGTGTACAAATCAGGGAAACGTCTAATTTCCTCTCCTTAATATTTTAAGGCCTTTATGAATTCAACCCCTGGCTTGTGATACGCTGCTGCCTCCATTTTTTCTAATCCCCAGGAGTCCAGCATTAACACAAATCAGCTGTCTACATACACTGTATTGCCAAAAGTATTGGGCCAGCCCTCCAAATCATTGGATTCAGGTGTTCCAATCACCTCCATGGCCAAAGGTGTATAAAATCAAGCCCCTAGTCATGCAGACTGCTTCTACAACCATTTGTGAATGAATTCAAGCTTGGTACCGTGATAGGGTGCCACCTGTGCAATGAGTCCATCCGTGACATTTCCTTGCTACTAAATATTCCACAGTCAACTGTTAGTGGGATTATAACAAACTAGGAACAACAGCAACTCAGCCACCAAGTGGTAGGCCACGTAAAATGACAGAGCAGGGTCAGCGCATGCTGAAGCGCACAGTGAGCAGAAGTCATCAACTGTCTGCAGAGTCAACAGCTAAAGACCTCCAAACTTTGTGTGGCCTTCAGATTAGCAGAACAACAGTGAGTAGAGAACTTCATGGAATGGGTTTCCATGGCCGAGCAGCTGCATCCAAGCCTTACATCACCAAGTGCAATGCAAAGCGTCAGATGCAGTGGTGTAAAGCACGCCGCCACTGGACTCTAGATCAGTGGAGACATGTTCTCTGGAGTGACCCCTCTGGTGAGGGGGCAATATGTCGCCTCCTCACCACCTGTTTTAACCCCCTAAATTCTGCATCACCCCCACAACCACTTGCATTGGTTGTGGGTAAGTTGCAGCACAGACCATTTAATTTGAATGGGTTGTGTTTGGTGAGTGGTAGTGCCCGTCAAATGCAACTGGGGATATATTTCTTGCAGCAGTCACGAAGCATTGTGATTGCAGCATGTGTACACCTCCAGCTGCTGCCTTGTCCACTAAGTACTCTTCACATGGGCGGACCAATCAGATCTGCCAGTCTGTTTTTCAATTGGACCCAAACAGACCATCCATTGCCCTTTAGGGCTCTTTCACATGGACATTCCGGTTGGGTCCACCTGCCCGTTTTTCATGCGAACCCCAATCGGAACCTCCATTCTCCTCTATGGACATGTGTCCATTTACACCTGCCGACATCCGATACAATACAATCCGCCAAAAAGGGGATGAATGGGGATCCAAGTCCCCTTGCATCCATCGGATTGGGTTGGATGAAAATGGACAGTCCGTTTTCTTCCGACCACCCATTGAGGAGAGCGAGCTGCTCTGTGTCCGTTCTGCAGCAGCGGAGCAGATACGAAGCTGCCATCCACTTGCTCAGCAGGGATCAGCGGACAGATCCCCTGCTGAGCAAGTGAATCTGCTAAACGGGTCCACACCGTGTGAAAGGACCCTTACACTCCAGTCACACCGATCCAACTTTGAAATTGTGCGACTTCCAGTGAAGTCGCACGATTTCAAAGTCGGATGTCATTCCAACTTGAGGTGCGACTTGCAAGACATCTGCGGCTTGCAAGACAAAGATGTCTATGCAAGTCGCACCTGAAGTAGTGCATGCAGTTCTTTAGAAATGGGTGCAGCTCTGACCAAGTTGGAATCGCACTGATGTGACCGCTTTAATTAAGGACAATAGGGTGTGACTTGCCATGCGATTTGCAGCTCGCATGGCAAATTGCATGGCAAGTCGCACCAGGTTGACTGGGGTGTTATGGAGCCACAGATATAAACAAATTTGTGTCCGTTAACACCCCCCTGCATCTGATCCACTAAAAATAGATGGATGTGGTATCCAATAGGCTTTTAGAGCCTATTCACACTTGTGCAACTTGTCATGCGACTTTGGGGTCCATGTTTCCAAAGGAGTACCATTCATAGCTGTGTGACTTCAAGTCGCAGTTCCTGCATTCATTTGGTCCGACTTGAGGACCAAAGACTTCAATGCAGCCCCTTTAAAGTCACATGAAAGTCACACCTGAATGATATGCATGCAACTTGTGTGTGACTTTGTACAGAAGAAACAATCATCTTTGGCCAAAGCCAAAGTTGCACTCATCCACAGTCGCACAAAGTTGTACTGTAAAATCGCAATGAAAATTGCACGATTTTGAAGTCGTACAAGTGTGAATGGAGCCTTAGGGGCCCCGTGCATTACTTTGAAACTTTTAAAAAGCGAAGTTCCACATGTTTTTGTGTTTATTAAAAGTCAGCAGCTACATTTTTTGTAGTTGCTGACTTTTAATAAACACACACTTACTTGTCCCAGGGTCCAGCGATGTGCTCACCCACGCCGTCCCTTCCCTCCCTCTCCTCTCTCTGGTGCCATCATCTCAACTGTGGGCACCAGGCTGTGATAGCTTGTGGCTTCACAGATGGGTGCTCACTGTGCATGCACGAGTCGTGCTGTGCATCCT